AATGTGTCACGGTAAGTATATATCCCACTAAAATATCTGAGTGTGTGTGTGGGAATGGGTTCTATATGTTAGCTTATTATCGAGCTGGGTTAAACTCATTTAAACGAGCCGACCCTCTTTTGATTATTAGGACATTTATTTTCCACCAGTACCTGACACATACCATAATTTGAACTCCCAGTAAGATTTCATTTATACCATGGGGAAATAAATTGTATAAGAAAAGTAATTTGCCTCGAAAGGATCGACTGATTCATGACCACTTCACACCGTTCATTAGAAGAATGATAAGTATTCATTTCTCATACAGCAGACAATCAAACCCTTAAAATGTGCTAGTAGAAAGGGTATGCTCGTTACATTTCAAATTCGAACATCAATCCCACAATTTCACATAATCATGTGACGCCTAAGGGATGGGGGCACACTTCATTTCGTATTAATAATCCAGTGGCCAGCAACAAAATTTGATTCATCAATAAAAGAGAACATTCTGCATTAATGCCATGTGGACGAGTTATATATTTACATAAATGCGGGCAAAACTTTAAAGAATTCTAGGTTTCTAAATGAAGTGTTGTCTAGCCGCTGCTTTTGAGAACAACGAAAGTACAAGACACGCTTATTAGCACCCACAGAACAGACTTGAGATCCATTACACATAACTTACGTAACAATCCTGATAATTATTCGAAATGGAAATATCTGAAGTTCTGTTAATTACTGCAATTGTGGAGATATTTAGTGGAGCCCGGAGTCATCTCGCCAAGTGTTTGAATGACATTGCGCTGCGACATTTCACCCCAGGAGAAACCTTGATCTTCTCAAAGAGCTATAACGAATATAGAAATAATCTTCAGTTCCAACGCAAGTTCCTGACGAAAACCGACGATGTTTCCAGCTCAATTTCTGCTGAACTTGCTTTCCTTAGTTCGCCGCTGGAAGAATTGCACCAGCAGGAGCTGTGGCCTCTAGTACTCTGCAATAGGCAAATATGCGATGAATTTAGACACGGCACACGCAGCAAACACAGCAGTTACATCTTCTCGTTACAGGCACGAGACTTGATACGAGAAATACGAGAGAAGCTCACGGCACTGAAAGAACTGGCCGAGTGGAATCCACGAGCCAAATTCGTCGTGGCAGTGGAACAATGCTACTTCTTTTCAAGAAATGTCAATGCTGTTGTAGAGGAGATTTTAACTGAGCTGTGGAACTGGAAAATAGTGAATGCCGTCATTTTGATTCCTGCTCAAAACATTCAGTTTCAGTGTAATGGGAATGAGAGTCACAATAAATCTAGCAAGAGGCAGGTAAGTGAAAAACTGCCCATCCCTCTATTGGAAGTGTTCACGTGGTTTCCTTACCAATTATCAAACCTCTGCGGTCAGGTTAAAAGAGCCATTCTCATAAACACGTGGGTTTTGGATGGAGAAGATAGAGAAGGTTTCTTACATGAAATTCCTTTGTTTGGGAAGAAAATTCCAAGTGATTTGCGTGGATGTCCAGTTCGAGTTTCTGCTTTCGCTTACAGCCCATTTTTTAACCAAGATATGAACAATGGGAAACACAAAGACGCTATTATTTTCAATGACGGTCTCGAATTTAGTCTATTAAAAACGATGATTGCAGCAACAAATATATCCGTGACATTTCAACCCCTCCCAGTTGGGGATGATTTGTGGGGAAGACCTCTGAAGAACGGCTCGTGGACTGGGATATTAGGCCAAGTTCTCAGTGGCAACTCTGAAGTGGCAGTATGTGGCTTGTATTACGTATGTCACCTAAGCAATGGGTTTGAATGCAGCATGCCTTACATCTTCGATGAAACTCTGTGGTATATCCCGTGCCCTAAACCGTTCCCACACTGGATGAGTTTATCCAGAGTATTCGATGTCAGCCTGTGGCTGGTTTTCATACTTGTCTATGTAATCTACTCCACCCTGATTTGGGTTTCAGTAATGTTATACAACATGCAAGGAAACGTGCAACATCCTTGCACATCTATCTCTAAATGTTTCCTCAACCTTTGGGCTATAATTCTCGGAGTTTCAGCGTACGACAAAAGTCCCGAAAAGACTATAATCAGAGTGAGCTTCCTACTGTGGGTTATGTACAGTCTGGCACTCAATTCGGTATACCAGACATTCCTAACATCTTTTCTCATTGATCCTGGGCTCGAACGCGAGATATCCACAGTGGAAGAACTATTAGAATCTGAAATGGAGCTGGGAATCCCAACGACAGTTGATACTGTTCTGCCAGAGCTGACTAGTTCTCGCTATTGGCGCCATACTCTTTGCCCTGACATGTCCTTGTGCTTTCGCCGGCTGGCTTACGAAGGAAACTTCGCGGTCCTGTGTTCCAGATACAGCACTGAATACGATGAAGGCCATAAATATATTGACTCCAATGGCAAGTCACATCTATGTCACCTGAAGCAGACTTTTTCTCTGCAGTCCGTAACAATGACAGTACAGAAAGGTAGCTTGTTACTCGAGAAGTTTAACGCGGTTATCAGCCACGTCATAGAAGCTGGTCTCATGAATCTTTGGTGGAAGGATCTGAAGTTTTTGGCAACTCTGAGAGCAGACAAGGTCCTCGAGGCGCCCAACAGTGAATACACTGCCATGACAATGGAACACTTCCAGTCTGCTTTCTTTGTGCTTGCATTTGGGTCCCTTCTTGCAGTACTGTGTTTTGTGTGGGAGTTTCTTCACTGAGCAGTCTCCCATTATAGTCTGATCTTCATTTCCAATTGTGTGAACAATACAACATTGGCCGTTCAAATAATGTGTCACATCAAAAGGAACGAATTCACCCGAAAATTTTACTTTAAATTAACAGTTTAAGGATATCTGAGATTCTTACGACGGTGTAGATTGGCGTTACAACTGTTTATTCTATTTTACCATTCATCAGAAATCAATCACATCATTTTCACATGACTTGAACATTCCACTCACTCTTTGTAAATGCTAAACAAATTCGTATTGCCTACTCGTTATTGTCAGTTAATAGATTCATTGTTTTTAAAGAGGACATTACCGATTGGACCTTGATAACGCCCTATCTGTTTGTATGAAACTGCGACTGATAATCCAGAAGTGACACGTTGTCGTTCATTACTTGACATAACCGGACACTAGTCTGATACCAGCAGAGCTCTGAGATGGACCGACTGGCTATAATCTTCACTCCTGCATCCCGCAAGCACTTGGATTCCACATATTATGTGCTATCCAAACTGAATGAGATTTTCATTAAACAAAAATTATGGAATTGACAAGAAAATAATGAATATATAAAAAGACTGTCACTTTCTCGCTGCATTGTCTTGGTTAGTAACAGACTAAGCTGAAGATAGGGCGTGCCATAGCTCAAGCGGTTAGTCGCTGGCTTTCCACCGAGGCGGCCCGGGTTCGATCCCGGGTCTGGTCAAGTGGGATTTGTGGTGGACAAAGCGGCGCTGGGGCAGGTTTTCTCCGAGTACTTCGGTATCCCCTGCCAATCTTCATTCCACCAATTGCTCCACAATCACCCTCACCTATCATCTGGTGCTGGTACAATAGGCCAGAAATGGCCGCAGTACAAGGGACTTAGTCCCACCCCAGTAGCAATAAAAAAAGGCCGAAGATTGGTTCACATACCGCATTATTCTTAATTGTGTGTAACGTAAATAAACCTTGTTTAGGGGGAAGTTTCATGCGCTTTCACTTGCTGTTCATTAAGACCTATCTGTCGCACTAGTCCGTAATATTCACTGTACTCCCGTTTCTTCAGTCCTATCTTTGAAACCACCAGTTTGTATGGAATATCTACTCTGCTGTAAAAGTAAAGTAAATAAAGGTATCCCTTGTAACAAGCCGTGGAGGCCCATAGGGTTGTTAGATGCTGAGGTTCCCAAATTGTCTAGACAATCGGTTAACAGATGGCGGTGAGGTTGTTAGCCTAACGCGCCGTCCGCTCTTTGCCCCCAAGAATATTCCTGGTACTCATTTCTGTTAGAGGCTGAGTCGACCCCAGGGTCATAGTGCGGCTGGAAAGATTAGGTAAATTGAAAAAATCCACCTCATCGGGATTCGATCCCGCGACCTTCCGGCTTGAAGCACAATCCCTCAACCAACTACGCTACAGCGTCCCCCTCTACACTGCTGCAGTAAAACTAAAAAAATAAAATTCGCATAGTTTGAGGGGGTGGGGGGTGGAGTCCAGTTGGGTGCACTCGACACGGTGGCCACCAATTGGCCTATTGTCCCGTCTGTCCAGTTTAAAGTTCTAATGACAATAACTGTGAAGGTTATCCTCTTCTGGGACGAGACGCCATGTAGTTCGATAAATAGATACCAACCTGGGTAGATACCCTGAAGATGGAGGCAGCAGGCGCTTATGAAACACGCGTTCACATCTGCCAAACTAAACAGCGTCACATCATAGAACAGAGTAATCTTCAATGTCCATTTTAACCCAAACTAACACCGTGGCAGCAACTCTTTTTCGCATTTCGTTGTTGGGAGTGGTTGGTGGGAGGTGGTGAGGGAAATCTCTGCTTCAGTCGTATCAGATATCAGATCAACGAAGTAGCCAGGAACGGGGAAGGCCGCGCTCGCGTGTCATGGACAAGTCGATCTTCATTTCCTCATATCCTGAGATATTCTGGATTTGTTAATTTTGCATAATCACTACCTCGCAGTAAGCTGTTTGTTCCGAAATGAGAATTAATTTATGAATATCCTGTGTAATGAAAACCAGACTAAATTTTAGTCTTACATCTACCCAACATCCAGTACTTTATGTCAGAAACATATCTACTCCTTATACTGTTCACCGTGAAATTATTTAATATATCCTAAAACAAAAGTTCTTATTGTCACTCTTAAACCTCTCAAGCCAAGAGAAGACTGTTAATAACTCCCTTGGAATCAGGAACGCTCATAATTCTACAGGTTGCATCAAATTAACCTTTTGATTACAAAATACAAGAGCGAAATTTTCATTACCTGTCCAGTTGTAGTACGCCTCGGCTTGCCACTTTCAGCCACTGCACACACAATACATTAAACCTACGCAACATATTATTAGAATAAATACAGCACAATCCGTTTTTTCACAATCAGAAAACGTAAGAAAAGTTTCTGTTCATCAACCGCAACTGAAACGCGCCCACCATTTTAAAATCACGCGTTGATGGCGCCTAGAGTGCTAACCACTAGGGCATTAGAGCATGGATTAGTCCAGTTAATCCATGATTTTTCGTGTGCTGCCCTCTTACATCATACAGCAGTTAAAAACATTGCCGAACACAATCGACTAATTAATCGCCAGTTGTATTTAAATATCGACTAATCGGTCCAATACTTATCGAACTATCAACAATTGCACTCTTTTATTTATTGCTCAGAGTTATACATAAAGCACTGAAATTTTTAAAAACGTGACATCTCAATGCTCTACCGGTCAGCGTTCCTGGCTACAGATCCAGAGGTCCAGGTTTGAATGCCGGCTCTACAAAATTTTTTTCTGAGTAGTGGGTCTGGAATGGGGTGCAGTCGGCCTCATGAGCACGTGATGATAATTGTGGAGCTATTTCAAGGAAATAGCGGCCCCAATCTAGAAAATTGCCATTTAATTGCTCCAGTTCCTTTTTTCAGAGCCTACATTCAACTTAAATTATTGAATTTTTATAAAATCTGGAATATCTGGCCATTTTCTGCTCATGACTTTCAAAAGAAATGTGGCAAAGTCAAACAACTGGAAATCAAAATTTCATTCAGAAAGTTAAGAGCAGATTAAATTTGGAAATCCTTCCTACCTAAGGTATAAGTAAAGCTGACCCAGAGTTTAATTAATTACACACTATGTCATGAAGACATATAGGGAAGTGGAAGTAGAGCTCTACAGTCTTGACCTCAGCACTAGATGAAACTGAGTGGTCACGTTCAGCCCCAGTACCCACTGGGTAGAAGTCTGGGTGGGCCCCAGACATTCTGGAGATTGTGGAGAAGACAAAAATCTCTTGGGATTTGAACCAACTATACTATACCAACTGACCTATCCCGCCTATGATGCTTGCTACCATTCACTTTAATATTTTTTGTCATCCTTTCTCCTGCCTAAATGTGTAAAGATTAAAATATACCAATTGAGATGTTTGAGAAGAAAGTGCTCAGGAAAATATTCAAATCTAAGCAAAGAAAGTAACAAGAGGAATAAACTGCACAAGACACTTCTTTGTATGTTAATTGTGGTTAGACTGATACACTTTATGCTTGCGACTGATGAGGCTGATGATTTGGAAGTACATCCTACCTCAATCTTCAGGGTTGAGGTGTGTCAGCTGGAAGAAAATTATGAAATAAAAATACCCTGAATGGCAAAAAGAATATCAATCTTTACTTTCAGCTTCATTATGCATGAGTTTTTGGACTTCTGTTAAGTATGAAGATTGTTACTGATGACTCCAGCCTACTACTGTGGCTTTACTGAAGTCTGAACACTATGATAATACACTTGAGATTTTCATTCTTTCGAACACTGTGATGGTCAAAACATTGAACTGACACTAATTTCACCAGTTTTAATATTACTCAAGTTTGGTGTTTGGATAATGTACTTTTGTAATGTCCTATTAAATGTATGCAATAAAGTCACAACCACTAAAACTACAAGTATTCTAACAATTTTATTGTTACATTTCAGTGCTAGTAGCTAATTCCTTTACTTTGGTTACAATACTAAAATTATTTCTGTGCACAGCTTCTAAAGCCTGAGCTATATGAATGTATTAAATTCATCACATTTTTTCTACTGCCAACAAATACTTCAACGAAGGACAATAAGGAACAGAAAGCATTGTTAAGTTTTAAAGCCAGTGACCCCTCACCTGGTGTTATTTGCAATGCAGATTCATGAATTTTATGGGGGGGAGTTCACTCCTGTATCCAAACCATCTCAAAATCATCAAAAGAAAATCAACTCTATTCTTCTCTACTCTATTATAAATACAAAATATTCGGCATTTGTCAAATAATACTACTGTGAAGAACTGAACACCTCCTCACTGTGAACTGTCAGCAAAGATGGTGTGAATAATAAATCTGTAACATGCAACATTTACATAAAGCTGCTAATAAAAACAGTACAAATGGGAGCAGTGTAATAAGGATCAAAGATGCACTATTATAATAGTGCATCTTTGATCCCCTATTATGATGATGATAATTATTAATTAAACTGTTCCCTCAAATTAGAACCAATCAATTTCAGGAAAACATATTTTGTCAAAATAGCAACCATTTTATGTCTCCATGGTGTCTGAATGGCACTAAAATATACAATACAGTGGTAAGAAGAGCCTTCACACTTCAGTAATGATTAGTGCTGAACAGATATGATTCTACCATAATTTATACACAGAATACAATATATAGAACTTGCAAATATAAATCACTCCGTCCAATGTGACCTGTAAGTTTNAAATATATAGAACTTGGTTCCCCATAAGCATTGGCAGACAGGAGCCCATACAGGAATCTTCTTACTCAGTGTATAATGCGAATACTGTGCACAGTATCAACATCTCTTGATCATAAAGAGTGACACTGAACTATCATAATACAGTATGACAGTTTTATAAAGGTTAATTAACACTGTCCATTGAGACTGAAAAAGGTTTTTTTTTTCCTTTTTAATCTTTTATCCTTGACATGTTTCGGTCTTATAGACCATTTTCAGAAGGATATCAATACAATTATAAACCACTATTACAATATTTTTTACAATGTTTTGTGAATATTAATATATACATACAATGTTATCATAATACAATGAATATAAGATCTAATATTTTAACAATTACAGCGATGAGTACTAATATGTTAAAATACTTATAAATTACAATCATTATGTTTAAGAAGATTTTGTTAATTTTCAAACCAAATTAGTCTGTGTCCTTTTTATTTCTTCTCTTTGAAGGAAGTCAAGCATCTACCACCTTGTAGTTCCGTTGTTTGGAGAATTGGATTTTTTGTGTCGTCCTGTTGCTGTTTGGGTCGCGCTGTGTTGTTACAATATTGCTAGTGTGATGGACCAGGATGAACCAAATCAAAAAAGTCTGACAGTTCTTTTCTATATATACCCTGTCATTCTATACACCTTGAAATCTATAAACTAATGCATTTCACCAATTAGCTTAATTTCAGGACAAGTCCTGAAAAATAAGAACTTTCATGTTTATTGGTGAAGACAAGAACATTTTTTTTGAGTATGAGGGCTTAAACCATAACACCATGTGAATAAAGAATTGTCACTCTCACAATTAACACATAAAAATCCACTATTTACATAAAAATTTTGTTTTCCACCATAATCAGACAATTACCTCAACACAACCATTTCAAATGTACATTAAAATTATACACGAATAAAATAAGCTTAAGTTGAACCCATCTTTAATATTCCTCAATTTAATACTTTTCTTATTAGCCATTCCACTCCAGTGCTCCCAAGTCAATAGTATAAAGCATTAAATCTACTCCATGAGTATCCTAAGTTTAGTCATCAAATCTACTGCTCCCCAGAGAAACCTTAAATGGAGTTTCGTTGTTTTCTACCAACCTGAGCACTAATATATTTAAGAACTGCTGATTAGTCACATCGTGATGCAAAATAACTGCAACAAACAAATAGAATCTACTTATTCTGGACCAGCCAAAAGAAGCTTATTATTAACAAACTGACAGTAAATCAATATTTTAAACATTTTAATTCTCAAAAAATATATGAATAAAACATCATGATACTAAAATTATACATAATATAATATATAAGAGCTGCTGAAATCTAAGATTCTGCTTGTCACTTTCAAACAATAGAAGTTCAGTTCTCAGAAGGCAGAAAAGAAATATTACTTACACTGAACAGCTAAATATTATGTACAATCATACTGGGAATAAACTTAATGTAAAAATTATTCAGAAAAGCAAATAAACTTATGACAATCAAGCAAACACATAAATACAACAATCACAAATAAATTTTCCTGTTTCAGTACCTACAAATACCCACTACATTATTTTATTAGAATAAAACACAATGTTCTCATAGATTTACAGTCTTCAACATTTTTATGTCTTAAAAATAACAGTATATACCAAATTACTTCTTTGTACACAGAATTTAAAACAGTGTTATGTAACTTCTTATCTTTGTTTTCTGTTACATAAGTTTGTGCCTGTTGCGCACACATGATGCTCTGATCGATGCAGTTGTATGAGAAATTAATTAATTTAGACCATTCAACACACATCATGGTGCAAGAATCATATTTGATTGTCGGTTTCACAAATTCAGCTTCGATCACCGTACTTTCATAACCATCTTCAATTCAACCTCCATCCTTATCTCAGGAATTGTGAGATACATACATGTATAAATTTTCATGTATTAATTTATCAGCATGAAAAAAAAAACTTGCTCAGATTCATACTTATGTGTACCTTTCATAAATTTGGTCCAGTCACTGTGCATCTGCTACTATAACAAAAACTGCATGGAATATGTAAAATACAGTAAACAAGTACTTGTGAGAAATTTCAGAAATATCCAGAGTAAATCTCCTTATTCTTCTGCTGTCACACTGACTGGACCAAAATCCTATTACAGAACTAACTGAACTGTTCCTTTATCCTCTTCTGTGGTCATCATATGTCACTACTTTGTGGTACTTTGCTCAGGTTAGATTATATTAAGTCATGTTACAAATGGAAATATATGGCCCTTAAATGTCCCCTCCAAAAGCTGTCCCTCTGCTTAATTAATGAATCATTACAACATGAAGACATGTGGGGGAGCAGAGACATAACTCCACCATTCTTCTCATGGCCCTTAACAGTTTTTTATTCTAAACTAGCCCAAAAAGTACTCAGTGTGGATGGTTTAATCCACTGAAAGTGCATCACTCATCTGCCTAAGATGTGCAGCTATGTGCATGTTATATCAGTATCAAGTGATGCACTACAAGCAAAGGCATGTATCGGTCACTCAAGTTAACTGTGTGTTGCTTGGGCCATCAAAGCATCTGCATATGAATTACTGAAAAGGAAAAAAGAATAGCATGTCATTGGCTGGAAACAGTGTGGAAAGCTACAAACATCACAGATGGAACCCAATCTTCAAACCAGGTACCAGCTAAATATACTAGGTTTGACTATAAAGTTCGCAAACTCACCACCGTGTGCTTGCCATGGCAGCAGTGGACAGAAACCTCAGTATGGTTTGATGATGTTGGCATATCAACGTTTCACAGCTGTGTTGTTGTTGATCTATGGCAGTCTCTTTCTGTGTGGCATCTATTATTGTCTGAGATGTTTTGGTGTGCCATCATGAGAATGTCCGAGCTTGAATTAGACCACTGTCTGCAAGGGAGTTTTTAGCTAGTAAACAAGTAATTGTGCTGAAACACCCTCCCTATTGACCGGATCTAGCCCCCAATGACTTTTTCTGTTCCTGAAGATAAAGGGAATATTGAATTTTGGTGATATTGCTGATGTCTGGAGTAATATGAAGACCATTCCGCAAAACCAGTTCCAAAATTGCTTTGGAAGGTGGACTAGGAGCTGGCATCAGTACACAGCGTCCTAAGGGAAGTACTTTGCTGGCAACCACAGTAACATTCTGCAATGAGGTATGTAGCACTTTTACCAAGATGAGTTTGCAAACTTTACTGTCAGACCCCGTAAGTAATTGCTCAATTTCATGAAGGAGAACTCAAGACTTTAGAAACGTAACAGTGTAAGACAAATACATGATCACAACTTGCACCCCCCTCACCCACCCCAAGAAAAGGAAAGCTAGTGCCACATAGAAACATGACAATGCCTCAGAATAACTGTAATATGTCATTATCACAGGAACCAGGGTGTTTGAATTTTAAAACTCAAGTTCAATCTCTGGAGAATATCACACACACATAAACCATATCACAGGAAATCTACTGCTTAGTAACACCTTCATATTCTGGCATATGAAACTTGAACACTTCCTGTAGTCTAGTCATTTAGTGAAGACAGAGGAGCATATTAGATAGAATTAAGTTCCTGGTACTCTAGCACTCCATGCTGATGAAAGAACAAGACAGCAGTATGTGTTCACATACACTGTGATGCTACAGCTTCCAGCATTTTCTTATTAATGAAAAGACATGTTTTCACATGCACAATACAAGGCCATTTCTCTGCATATGCAGAAGCTGGGAAATTCAACTCTACACAAGCAAATTTTGAACCATGTAAGTATGAGCAGTTCCTTTATGAGCTGTCTATACCTCACACAAATACTCATACACTGGGACATTGTCTGTTCATCCCTTTGCTAATGGATGCTATCTGGTATCACAAATATCAAATTATATCAAGACAGTGAATGACAATAAAATATTTCTACAGCAAAGTACCTGTGTACAAAGTGAATCACTTTATGTCCCAAAAAGACACAATGAAGTAGTTTAAGGTAGGCAATAACCTCTACATTCTACCAAATTCAAAGCATAATACCATGAAGACGTGTTATGAGACAGTGAGGATGGGTCCCATGTGTTTTCAAACCCAAAATAAGTGGTAAAATGAATGCTCTGACTACCTTTCTTCATAATATGAAAGCCCTTATGTCAGCTTGATAGGAAGCTGGGTGGACCTAGACAACCATTTTGAGCATGACAAGAATCAAACCCTGGTCTTCCATTTTGTAGGCAGTCACTTTACTGGCTGACTTCCTGAACTTACCTATACAGAAGTTTTACTGCATACTTTGTAAGCATACTTCTTTTAATTTCCCAGCATGAATATCCACTTTTGTCATAATGCCCCACACAAAAATTTGTTTATACTGTTTACATAATTCTAACATATACAAATGTATTTATATAATTAACATACAGACCTGTACAAGTAAATAATGTTCACACAAGCATATATCTTACAACTGACATCATACTTAAATCAATATATTTCAATAAAGAATATAAATTTCATTGTTTCATTAAAAATACTTTACGCCTTGAAAGAGGCACGTGACTGAACAAGTATACATAAATAAATAGTGCAATATAAGCAGAAACAAAGTCATCAGTAGAAAATAAATAAATTGTTACTATGTTTAGGAATAATCTAGAACAACTGACACATCACCACACAAAGCAACATCTTGTGCACTATACAAAAATACCTGAATGTAGCACTGCCACTCCCCACTGCAGGAAAGAAAACAAAAATCAGACCAACATAGCTTTCCCCATCCCCACCTGCCACAAAAGAACAGCCAGTGCAATGGTAATACAGGTTAGCTGCGTAAAGCCTGCAGCCTGCTCTGCATGTCTTCCAGTTCCTCCGCATCCTCCAGGACAGCTGATGCTCCAGCTGCCTCCGAAACTCCGGATGCTGGGAGAGTGTCAGTAACAGCTGCTGGGGCTTGCCCAAGTTGTCCTGCTGTCAGTTCCCACAATACCTGAAAGGCATAAATTAAACAGTTGAAGCAAATAACATATTTACTAGCCTAAGTTTCTACACAATACTAGAAAACAAATTAAGAACAAAACTGACAAACAGCCCCTAGCTTTCTTTCACTTTCATACTTATCATGGCAGAAATCATAAGAACACTCACCTTGTCGACCTCCTCTTGCGCCTCTTCCTCCAACTCATCCTGGTCTTCAAGAATATCCATGGTTTCTTCCATCATCTCCTCAATAATCCCAGCCTGCATAAAAAGAGGCAACTTTAGAGCAGCTTTCTATATCATATCAAGTTTTCATAATTCTCTAGTACATGTAAGCAACTGTACCAAATTTTCTATTATTACCGCATCAATATACAAACATTTTCTGTTCTTTCTGCACACTCTTACACACACACTCACTTCTAAATTTGAAGCAGAAAAGAAAAAACTCTGATTTGCAGAAACATTGATTTTACATTCTTCAACATTGCTGGTAATCAGTATGAGACCATAAGTTTTATATGAAATTATTTACGCTTTCATTTCAAAGAACAGCCATTTAAGAGTTCTGTATGGATAATGTAATTTATGTACATTAATTCATGCTTCAAGCTTACAAATTGAACAGATATATTCATATTGTAACGGATTTGATCAATGCGCTGCCAGGCAACAGCTCTGTAATCTGTAAACATGGTCCAACATGCAACACTACAGGAAGCTGTGTTTTCCATGCCCGCAGTCACGTCTCACAACCGTAGGTAGTGGACACGTGACACGTGTTTGCTGTATCCGTGCACCTTGCACCAATGGACTGGCTGGATAGCAATCACATGATATGTGTTTACTGTAGCTCCGTGTCTATGCCTTGGCTATATAAGTGAGCAGAATTCCTAAGCTACAATAGTAACAGCAGAAGCACCCAAACAAGAGGATAGCAGTAAGCTGGAGGAGTACAGGAAGCAAACAGTAAGCTTGAGGAGTACAGAAGAGTACAAAAAGTCAGCACGCGAGCATTTAACGTGTGGTCTGAAGACTTTATGCATGCTGTAGTACAGTGATATTGGGGATGTGTGATTTAGTGAGACTTTTATAGTTCCTGTGTTATAAGTCCATGAAGACTAACGGAGACAGACTGAAGAGAGTAGCATGGAGTGCTTTGAAGTGTGAAAGTCAGGAACAGTGTTATAATTATTTGCAGGTATACAATAAATCCAATTATGAATTTGAACCCTGTCTTTAGTTACCATGACACGTGACAATATATATGCTCTGTGGTTCTCACAACAGTGACTATTAAAGAGTAGTAAGCCTAGCAACAAACCAGTAAGAAGCAGATAACAGTATTTCTTGGATGTAACCTCAAAGATTCATATCACCACCATGTTTGTAATGCTAACATTCTCTAAAGATTTAATAAGAAGCTGACAGTTATGTTAATAAATTACCTCAATAAAGGTATCATATATTTTAAATATCTATTACTGCTAAAGTTTAAAGTGATACTGTCACTTATACTTCAGAAGTTCACATGACTGTCATGTCCATATTACTGATAGCAGGAAAATGAAATGCATGATGGTACGATATCCTTTAGTGGTATGATGTTCACAGTTTAACAAAAATCTTTCAATGTTCACAGTTTAATGAAGATATTTCAACTGGTTTAATAGTTATTAATGGGGACACATTCTCAATGAGTCCACAAGCCTGTTCTTCCTCTGAAATAAACAGAAACACTGAGCAGAAAGTTCTAGCATTTGTACTGAGCCGGTATATACCGTACAAGCATGACCTGAAATATGATTTCTAGAAATGTAAAGCCAGTAACACAGATCAACCCAGTGGTAAATTTTATATATGCTGCATAATCATCAAAAGTAGTTCACAACAGAATATATTTCATTTTACCCTCATCATTTCCTTGGATAAATCCCTCATTGTAGCTGCCACTTCAGGGACACGAACCAGTGACTGTATTGCCTGCATCACTTCTGTTGACTTCTGAAGGGAACCAGCCACCCTCAAGGTTGCTGCACAATGAAACAAAAACTTACATCACAAATTAAAACTCAATACAGAATTTAAAAATCACTAATAACCATATACTTCCTGTTTGCCAGGAATGTAGGTAATAAGAGATGACGCTAATCAGTCTGAGCCCTTATTTATTTGGATAATTATAGATGATCATGAAATTTATTTCTAATTAATTCTCAGTAATTTTAATTTCAAAAGTCTTATGTTTCGATATTACTGGAACTTTATTGTGATCTATAATATCGTATTTCATTGTCTGGGACGTGCAATACGGTCTTTATGTTGAAATTTCTAGATTCTGGCAGGACCAAGGAGTCCGGAGTTCTGACATTTATGAGCAGTCATAAATTTAGCTCGGGTACAGGGAACCGGATGCACCTTAAAGGAAAGTCAATGAGAAGGACAGGTCAAAACTTGTTACAATTGCCTGTGAATGAGGGCCATTATGATTGAGTTGCCTCATTCAAACTTCCTTACGGAAGATGGGATGACATGTATATGTCCACACCATGGAGAATTCGAATTCTTTCGAATTCCCGGCATGGGGTGTGCAAGCCATTCCACAAAAGGAGACTTTCAACATATTCTGAAGTGAACGGACGTGACCCTTGCACACTCCAAGACATAGCTTGCAGATCATGTAACATGGTATAATTTAAAGCATAAGGATACATTAAATTAACAGTGTGGTTTGGAGAACAATAAGTGAATAAACATCACGTTGGATCAACTCCCAGAATACCGCTTGCTTCGGCATCGCTACCCTGAGACTCATGCAAACCGACCCAGCTAGTTTCCCGTACCTATACCGACCTTCCTTAGTTTGATCTGTGAGGACAACTTGCAGTGGCCATCATACACTCTCCTAAGGTAGAAACAGGTGTAGCAGGGATAGCACCATTCCGACTGAGCTGATATAAACAAAGGCGGGTTGGAAAAGAGCGGTGTTAAAGAGGAACACAAGCAACTATAACAGGTATGAAGAAAGCAATCTTCTGGGATGTGGTGCCATGTAGATATTGTGTTAACTGACGTTTCAGAGGAATGTATCACCTCCATCTTCAGGGTAGAAGAAAAATAAGAAATCCGCGAGCAAACAAGGGTGAGCAGGTGCAACAGACTGAGTCCAGTCGAGTAAACCCAGCTGTATAAGAGCAGGAAGGGAAGGGAGACGGGTTACATGGGAAATCAGTAGAGAGGAGAGGGGAATGGTCTGGGGAGGTGGGCCAGCAGGTAGCAGGCCAGAGCAGGTATAGAAGACTGCTTTCTTCATAGTCACCGCCATGAAAACCTCAGCGCCATAGCTCAAGCTGTTAGTCGCTGGCTTCCCACAGCGGCAGCCCGGGTTAGATCCCAGGTCTGGTCAAAAGGGATTTGTGGTGGACAAAGTGGTGCTGGGGCAGGTTTTCTCCAAGTACTTTGGTTTCCCCTGTCAACCTTCATTCCACCAATTGCTCCACACTCACCCTCACCTATCATTTGGGGCTGGTAAAATAGGCCAGAAGTGGCCACAGTAAAAGGGACTTAGTCCCACCCCACTAGCAATAAAAAAAAAAATGAAAACCTCAAATCTTATATAACAGGCCTGTTCAACATGTAGCATATGGCAGACGTGTCTATATAGAGAAATTTTTAACTGCTGTGAGGAAATAAGCTGCCTTTCCTTTTGCTTCAAATCCATTTCAAGATCATGTCAAATGTGACTCACTCAGACTGAATGCATGATTTAATTCTACTTATGTGAGAGAAAGTGGGTTCAAATTGAAAATCACTAAAATGAAGATCCAAATGAACGTTAACTGATAGGCACTTCAATGACTAGAGAATGGCAGTCACAGAATGTTATAAGCTCACTGATGAAACACAGTTCCCAGTCTCATTTTGAATTTTAATATCTGGTTTTGTTAGAGAATTTCCTTGGGGTCCATTTCTGTTCTTAAGTATAACTGGAAATATAACCAACTCCATTACATAGAGAGCTCCTTGAGAACCTGATACTGCTCAGAATTGGTCAAGAAATTGGCTGCTTTTAATGGAAACAGAAGACTCATTATGACATTCACCACGACTCATCACTGTTCCAAAACTGTAACCATGCTGCAATCTGCTGTTACACTAACAAATTTCCTTCCTTTTGTGGCATATACAGAATAACTTTTTAAAGCAATTTGTTGCCCAACATTCTAATGAATGGCTGAAAATGACCTGAAGCCCTAAAAAATTTGATGAGCCTGCACTCTGCCTCACATTATTGACACAGTGAAGGAAATAGCTTCATAAATGCTTACTCAGTTGATCAGTTAAATAGAGATACCTCTTACAATACACAGGACAGTCTTGGAGGTGCAGTTTGTTGTGTTAGTAGACTGTTAGCGTGCTTCATTGTCATATATTATACATATGTGTGTGTGTTGTCATATATTATACAATACATGTAGAATATACAAAACTATAATTTTGACTGTGGTTCTGTATTAGGGTGAAACTCTGTCTCTGAAATTAAGGGAGGAACAGAGCCTGAGGGTGTTTGAGAAGAGGATGCTGAGGAGAATAGTTGGACCAAAGAGAGATGAAGTGACAGGAGCTTCATAACTTATACTCTTTTCCAAGTAAAATTAGAATGATCAAGTCAAGGAGAATGAGGTGGGCAGGGCATGTAGCATGAATGGGGGAGAAGAGGAATGCATTTAGGATACTGGTGGGGAAAGCCAGAAGGAAAGAGATCACTAGGAAGACCAAGGCATAGGTGGGCAGACAATATTAAAATGGATCTTAGAGAGACAGAATGGGATGGTATGCATTGGATTGATCTGGCTCAGGATAGGGACCAGTGGAAGGCTCTTTTGAAGATGGTAATGAACCTTGGGCTTCCATAAAATGCTGGGATATTCTTGAGTAGCTGCACAAGTGGCAACTTCTCAGGAAGGGCTCAGCTCCATGAGTGAGCGAGTGATATATATATATATATATGACAATACAGAACACCATCAGTCTAAGCACAACAAGCTGCATCTCCAAGACTGCTCCTGTGAATTATATGACTAACCAGTGCAACAAGATACCAAAGTACAATAAAAATATCTCTTCTGAGTTACGCATGTGTTCTACCAGAAAATGGAGTTCTTATAACAATATGGAACAGCCTATTAATGTTCCCCAATTTAAGATTTCCTCTAGTTACAATTTTTCTCTGTTCAGTGTTTGCAGCTACTGTTCCCCAAAGAAACACTTAAATGGGCTGTTTCACTGCAACAGACAAGCACTTCTCACATCACTGTGCCTCACATGCACCTCACAAAAATGGACAAGTATAAGTTGAGACTTAACTACAGTATTACTGATCCAACTGATGACTTCTTTACTAAATTCTCATTTTTGCAGGAAATGAATGAGTAGAATGGTGTAGCATTAATCTCTGCCAGGTTATCGGTTATCCTGACTTAAGACTTTTATGGTTTTCCTCAGTTTCTCCAAGGAAATGCTGGGGCTAAAAGCTCCATGACCACCTCTCTCCAAATTCTTGTTAACAAAGTTCCTTCTTACCGAGTTGATTCTTCATCTGTAGTTGTATGGAGTTAAGGTGTGCCTTGGATGTATTAATCTTACTAATTGCTTTCCGTGCTCTTATGACTTCTTTGGCAAGTATTGTACACACTCCCTTGTCACCTTTCTTAGCTGCCTCCTTCAGTGAGCGTTTAACTTTATCTTCTTCACGCTGAATAGCTAAAATTAGAAATAAGATAACACTGGCTACCATTATATTTACCCTAAACACCATGAACTTCTCTTCAAGTGGGTTATTTAAGAAAGCTGTCAGTATCAATACTACAGTGTGTTGAATGATAAATGAATGTACAGCAGTCAGTGTGGCACACGGCAGTGTAGTTGGTTGAGGCACTATCCTACAAGGTGGTAGATCATGGGTTTGACAATCAATGAGGTCAGTGGATTTTTCGATTGACCTAATCCTTCCAGCCACACTATCATCCTGGGGTCCACTCAGCCTCTAACAGAAATGAGTACCAGGTATCTTCCCAGAGGTAAAGGGGTTTGCCAGGGCGCAAGGCTAACAACCTGACCGCCATCTGTCAGCCGAGTGTCCAAAACATGTGGAAGCCTAGACAGCTCATAACCCTATGGGCCTCCACAGCCTGTTACAGGGATAGATTTACTTATTTTTATGGATAATATATGTTCAGCAGTGATAGGAGCTATATGGAGTTTTTTAACTTTGCTGACTAGTTCACAGCTCCGCACTTCACGGCAACCAGTGCATCACTGGCTGTGAGGTGCTGCCAATGAATCAGTATGCCTGACAGCCGATAACATTTGGTATGAAGAGACGTAATTAGCTTGTGGACTGCTTGACAGCATTATGTCTCACGGCAAGCATTGCGGTTCATGCGTGAGAGTTTATGATTTGTTAGCAGTGTGGTACATCATGGTGCAACATATTTCAGAGCAATGCATATTTCTGCATAACACATGTGTAAAATATAGATCTGCTGGAAAGTGTCAGCGAAAATTCTGAAGTCAATTTTATTATGAAAGACTTCCTGGTAGACAAACAATTTGGCAAATAAACTTAGAGCAACGGGACTCTTAATAGAAAAGAAACAAAAGCATGAGTGTTGCATGCTGAGAAGTCAGATGACAGGGGCCAGACTAGAAGATACACCTAGAAAATCACTGAAACATCTAGCTCAAGAAATTGGAGCATCAAAGTCTTGTGCAAGAATGGAAACACAACTGATGAAGCTTAGACCATATAAAACAACAGTAATCCATGCCCTGCAGCCGCACAATCCAGTTAGCAGGGTTCATTTTTGTAACTGGTTTCTATAGTGTCCTTGTAGGTGTCATTGCAGAGATACAATAAATATGCAAAATAATCACTACTGGTGTTCACAGAATCCATATTTAACCCACAAAGTCTCGCTCCATCAAGTGAAAGTTGGTGCAAGATCGATTGTTGTACTGAATTGAATTGAATTTATTTACATTCTATAAATCCTAAGCAGGTTAGTACCTTTGGATACAGAACAAGTCAAAAGGTTACATACATAAGTACAGGCAATTTTAGCTTAAAAATTAATATAACTTAATTTTACATCATTCTCTATTTACATTGAAGTA